CGACGATGTTCCTCGATGTGTATTCTGATGTTATTTCCATAAGTAAATACCAGTCGGATCGCCCGGCTCAACGGCGCGAGCTCTCCTCCTTCTTTATAGCTCGGCTTCGCCGAGCTGGCCTGGCTTTGCCAGGCGCGCTCCATAATGGGGAACGGGACTCTTCCAATCACTGCGTTGCTCATAGAGCTCTACAATCATAACAGATAGAGCAACCCTGCGGATCCTGCGTTCCATAGTAAACGCTTATACTTGCGGTCCGCGCCATAACGGCCATACAACACAGACAGGGTACAGCATCCTTGTGTGAAACACATGAGGGGGTCGTACTTTTTGTTCTGGGGAGGGGGTCGTATTTGGGGTGGGGTAAGACAAATTTATTTCGATAGTTGATTTTTTCTCCTAGAAAAGTGGGGGTTGTATTGATCTTTTGTTTTATATGCACTATATGCATTCTGTAGCCCTGGATATACGGTGGCATTTTAGTTATTGTGCCCCCCCCCCGCTCGTCGACATCGACATTATATAGAGTAGGATAGTGCGATGAATTCATTTTCTTAGTGTTATCAGGAAAGTGTTGGCCAAAGGAAAGTTTCACAATCTGAGCCTCGAATACTCGGCATTAAAGCGGTGAGAGGTTAGCGCAGATGGTATCGTATCAATTTTTATCGATTGATAAGATTACCTGTCACCCGTCATCAATGTCCTCATCACTAAATCTCTATGATTTGAGAGCGTGAACCGCCTTGAACAGCGACGACGACTGCAACCTCCATTATCAGCCCCTATCAGTAGTTATCGCTTCTAGTCACCCACGGTTGATGTTCCCAACTCACTCTCTATATCACTTGCTGAAACGCACGCCTCGCTGATACTGTGACCTGCGCTATGAATACGATGACCTCACTATTCTAACGTCCCTTATCGAATCTTTTATCAGCAGCTACAAGTTTCTTATTTACCCACCAAACTAACTTTTTGGCCCTCATTCCAAAAAAAAAAAAAAAAAAAAAAAAAAAAAAAAAAAAAAAAAAAAAAAAAAAAAAAAAAAAAAAAAAAAAAAAAAAAAAAAAAAAAAAAAAAAAAAAAAAAAAAAAAAAAAAAAAAAAAAAAAAAAAAAAAAAAAAAAATATCATATCTCGAAATCAAGAGCTGACTGCTGCTGTGACCTGCGCTGTGAATATGGTAACCTTTTCCTTCTAACGCCCCTTATCGAATCTTATCAGCAGCTTACAGTTTTTGTGACCCACTAATGATGTTCTTGGACTATCCTCTATATCATATCTTGAAGATCGAGAGCAGGCTGATGCTGTCACTTGCGTTATGATTATAGTGACCTTCTCCTTCTACAGCCCCTTATCGAATCTTATCAACTGATATAACTTCCTGTCACCTACCAATAGTGTTCCCGTCACACCCCGTACATCACTTCTTGAAATCATTGTCTCACTGCTACTGGGACAGGCGCTATGAATTTCGTGACACACAGACAGACGCACACACAAGGCATAACTTCACCACACGACACGGATCAGAACATACATTAGCGATGTATATAGAGTAGGCATTAACAAGGCTTATCAGGACAATGGTAAGGCCTGCCATGTTTTGCGGGAGGGAGTGCTGGCCCCTAGGCAATAACCAAGCCCTGCTGAAATGAGGATGCCCATGACATAAGATGTGCTTGATGGGAAAGAGCGGGCTAAGACCAATGTAATTTGCCGCTCCACGCGCTGCGGCGCACCGTCGATGAGCACGGGAAACTTAGAAATGTGGGCGTCACGCGGTAAACATGCGCAGGAAATTCAAACTGTGCGTTAGTTTCTCGATTGGAGCAGTGAAGCTCGTGGAAACTCAAGCACATTTTTCATTAAAGACACATGGTACGCTCAAACACGTTAAGGGTGTATGAGACTAACAGCCCCCCAGCTGTCGATGTGTCGTGGTTGTTTGAGCGTACCATGTGTCTTTAAAGACACGGTCCGCGATTAGGTATCGAAGTTGAAAATATGATGTCAGGAGGTAGAGTGGTCCGCAACGAACAACCTTGTACCGGTTTCGCGGCAAAAAATTCTATGGGAGGGGCGCTATGGCGCAATATAAGTTCAATGGCTCCTCCTTTTTTTCCAGTGCTCCGCCTCTAGAATTCGCCCCTAATGACCGGCTGCCAGTGAAAAATGAGTTTGCAGGACGAAAAGTCACTCAACCCCTTGACGTCTATATGGAGCCTCCTAATCCACCATCTGAGATGGCGAATAATCGCGAGTTCTGCCTTTATATTCAACTTTCACTGAGATAAATTGGAAACAAGAGATGCGCGGTCGCCAAATCAACAGCCAAATTAAGCTATAAAGATGAAAGCATGAAGAACCTCATTAGAAACCTTACGGCGGGCCTGCTTCAGTAACACTTTTTCCCGTCCCTTTAATATACGAATTCGAATGGCTAGAGGGAAGGACTCGTCTTCTCGCGGCGCGATGTCGCTCGCCACGCTGGTCACTGTAAAGTTACGATTCTCTTGTCATATACCCGTGCTGATGGGATGAGAGGTGCTAAGGTTCGACTCAAAGGACAGGGTGCGGGGGAAAGCAATGGGCTTCTGAGCCTCAGGCAAGCAAACAATGGAACGATTCCCAGAGAAGAGTTAAAAAACACCGTAAAAAAAAAAAAGCTTACCTGAGAGCCACAGGACGGGATAACTTACATTCTTTCTTTGTTAGATAGGGGAAAGCGGCGATCCCTCACAAGAAGCTTTGAGGAAGAAGCTCGTAGCGGATGTAGTGGTCAACTGCTTAACATGCCAAATACAGCATCGTCTAGTGCTGCCCAGCCTTCTTTGGTGATGACGCATTTATCCTGCAAAGTCGGTGTCGGTGTACTTCTCGTCTCGTAGGCTATAAGATTGCAACTGAGAGCCTTCCTGCTGGAGCTGTTGCTCAGCAAGCCTCTGGAAGTTTTTCTCATTGGCCGTGGAATGGAAGAGGAATTCCGCAGTGATATGTGGTGCTAACAATAAGGGAAAGATGTCATCATAAACCTCTATACAGGACGCCCTAGTGGGTTCTGGTAACAAACCAGAGTACAATAGCAACATAGTTGCAGTCAAAACCTTGGACCAAATAGATGCAGACGTAGTTTAAAGGGAAGGGAGCACTGAGCTCCCCTGGGTCTCTTCCCCTAACCACTGGGGATTTACGGACGACAACCCCTAGCAGCGCGAAAAGCCAGTTTTCTGGGTACCATTTTGAGCGGGCGCATTTGAACACTCAAGAGTGCTTCGGAACGAAACCTGCGTGGATAGAACAAGGCGCGTTGTGGTTTGGCCCTCAATTAGTTCATCCATTGGTGCGCCGTGAACCGACGGCAGAAGTTTTTGGGATGGTGCAACTTCTACGTGAAGTCTGTCTACGAAATCAGTAGTGTTTATAGAGTTCAGAAAGGTCCACGGCCCAACCGAAGGACTTTTCTAGGTTGTACCGCTCAGTCATCTACGTACTTGCGAACTTATGTCAACTTGTTAATACTCTCAGTTGATTTTTGATTTTTAGTGGCTTAAGCTGACACTTCGGCGCTGTTTGGTGCTGACGCCGCTTCATCAGCGGCCTTCCCCCCTCCCCCATCCCGGCTTAAAGACACCAATATAGGCGCTCACACACATTGAGGGTGTATGAGACTATCAGCCCCCCAGCTGTCGATGTGTCGTGGTCCCCCCGCCCAAACATGCCCAGGAATGGAGATACAGGACCCGTGAAACACGCTAATTCTTCCATGCTCCGCCTTACACCTTTTTGCGGCGCAGATTCCCGTCCTTCATAACATCCGTTGCAAGCGCGCGTGTCGCGTGCGGCTCCTTGGCACTTTGCCAAGTCCTTTAATTGCGCTTTCAAATACAAGTAAAACGCAATTTCCTGATGCGGATAACATTGGAGGTGCTGCAAAATAAGAAGATGATGACAAGGGCTAGAACCTAAAAGCAACTGTGCCACTTCTGCAACATCCCTCGGAGGCCGCGTATTTCCACGAAACATGAAAATAAAACGGCATACTCGTTAGTTTGATACAAGCAAAACGCAATTTCCTGATGCGAATAAAATTTTAGGTGTTGCTCATACTTCAAAATCCATGTACAAGGAGATGAAGATGACACAGGCTAGAAATGAAGCACAACGATGTAAATGTAAACAAAACAAAAATGAAAAAAAATCAAGGAAAGGCAAATTAGTTGAAATCGCCTGTAAATTTCTACGATCCGGCGCGAATCCGGCGCCAAAGCCATAGAAATACTTAGAATAAACGAGTGGGACGCTTGGATTGTTTTTATTCTCATGTTTTCTGGGAATGCGCGGCCTCTGATGGATTCTGCGGATGCAGCCGAGTTGCTCTTGAGTTCTGGCCCTTGTCATCATCTTCTGTTCTTATTTTGTAGCACCTCCAATGTTATCCGCGCCCAGGAAATTAAAG